AACCCCAGCCCCTAAAAAAACATTAAAAAAAAAAAAGAGCTGGGAGTATAGCTCAGTGGTGGGAGTATGCTTAGCATGTACAAGGCCCTGGGTTCTAGCAATAAAACAAAACAAAACACCAAACAGCTGCGTGCAGTGGCATACGCCTGTAATTCTAGTGACTCAGGAGGCTGATGCAGGAGGATCACAGCTACAGACCAACCTAGGCAACTTTGAGAGACCCTGGCTGAAAATAAAAAAAAAAATTAAAGGATGGAGGATATAGCTCAGTAGGAAAGCATACCTGGTTTCAATCTTCAGTACTACAAAAACAAACAAACTATGGCATGGCATTAACATCCTTAGCAGGGGCCTTCACCCTTGGAAATATGCCTAGTATCACAAAGGTTGCCTCCCCTGCTCCTTAGAAGGTAAATCTTAGAGGTGAATAGATGGTTTCTAACTAACACTCACCTCTTTATAAGTGTCGTGTTTCAAACGACACCAACAGAAAACAGACAAGGCCCTGTCAGAGAGGGAAGGGAACCTGACACACCCCATGATCTCTGGACATCATAAGGATAGCTCACTCCACACCTATCCAATATGTCTCTAATAGCAGTAGGCTGCAAAGACCTAAAAAGGGGATAGTCAATGGAGGGCTGCTTTTGGAATGTAGTCTAAATTTTATTCAGCTCAACCATATGTGCTTCTTTGGATGACTGGAAACTGGAGAAAAATAATCAACTCAAAGGTTCAAGGGGGAGTCCCTGGGAGTTATTTAAGCAGTAAATATGAGACCTCACTGACTGGTGTCCTTGTTTGGAAAATGGGATTACCTCTAGTTGGCTGGGAGTGGCAGAGGATTAATTGGTATTTACAGAATGAGGGTAATAAGGATCATGTAGGATGATGTCCCATGAATGCAACAGTTAAGGAATCACCTTACTCATATTTAACTGGTAATACTAAGCTTCTTCTCAAACTTGCCCTAAGAAGGTATGAGTGACTCTGGTTGGGCAAGGCTAGCAAAAAAATAACCTACTGATGCCAACAGCTTTCATGTCAAATTGCAGAATGCATGGCTGTACAAAAGTTGATCTATTTAATAGATCCCTGGAAGAAACCATCAGTAAATGTAGTTCCCACTTCCTATGTGTTAATAAAAGAGGTCTACAGAGAGACTAGCTGATTATCAGGAACACTACATCATCAAAATTCAGAGAGAACTTATCAGGAGTCCAGAAGGTCAAGCATGGAAAGGAAGAGGAATCTAGTCACAGTTCCTGCAGACAAGAGGCAGTTACGAAGCCACTGCCAGAAGAAACAAACAGTTGGGTAACAAAAGCACACATTGCCTCAGTGATCTCAACTACTCAAGAGGCTTAAGTAGAAGGATCCTAAATTCAAGGCCAGCCTCAGCAACTTAAGGAGACCCTGCCTAAAATAAAGTAAAGGCTGGGGATTGTAGATCAATGGTGGAGCACTTGCCTAGCATATGCTGAATTTGATCCTTAGAATCATAAAAGTAAAAAAGAAGAAAAAACAAGCTACTGACTATTTTACAGCAGAAATATCTTAGAGCAACCTTATAAGAAAATCTGAAGCAGGGGATCTATGGCACCCATATCTGGACAGTCTCTGGAAGGCCCTATTATTCTTAGAGCCACCACTGCTCCTCTGTACCAAACCTCTATTAAGGTTGAGGAGGGGAAGTAAAACATAGTGACTTCCCCATGGATTCCATTCCTCATGAACATTTTCTACTAGTTCCACTGCTACCTCTTGCCCTACTAAACCCACCATGCAGCCAACTCACCTGTACTGGCTCCTCCAAGACTCCACTGCAAATAGGGCAGATAAGATCTTCGTCAACATCCCCCTGGAAACGGGTTACATCATACCCCATGTCTCATCACTGAAACCCAGATCCTGGAAGAAACAACAGAGAAAAAAGAGGCCAGTTCAGAAAGTCTACCACAATGTGGTGAAAATGAACTCATTGCCAAGATTAATTCATTTATCCAACAAATATTTATTAAGAGTCTAATAAGTACCAGTAATTCAGGGGAAAAAAATAAAAGCTGACATAAGAAATTTAATTTAAGGGCTGGGGTACAGCTCTGTGATAGAGTACTTGCCTAGCATGAGCGAGGTCCTGGGTTCAATTTCCAGCACCAGGGCGAAAAAAAAAGGAAGAGGGATAAAGTGGATAGAGGCCTTGAAAGGTCAAGTACGAGCACAAGTACAGCACTGTGTTAAGTCAAAATGAATTGGATTCACATGCTTACTCTTACAAATTAGCTGTATAGCACAGGGACAGCTACAAAACCTTCCTAAGCCTAAATTGTTGAGCTGCCATAACTTGCAATCTTTTTTTTTTTTTTAACAGAGAGAGAGATAGAGGAGAGAGAAAGAGAGAAATTTTAATATTTATTTTTTAGTTTTTCGGCGGACACAACATCTTTATTTGTATGTGGTGTTGAGGATTGAACCTGGGCCGCATGCCGCATGCATGCCAGGCAAGTGCACTACCGCTTGAGCCACATCCTCAGCCTAACTTGCAATCTTAAATGCTCCAAAATCCAAAACTTTTTGAGTACTACAAATGGAAAATTCCATACCTGATCCCATGTGATAGGTCACAATCAAAACACAGTTACACTAAAGATATATATAATGAGCTATGCCAATCATGGTGGTATATACCTGTAATCTCAGCAACTCAGGAAGCTGAGCTAGGAAGATTGGAAGTTCAAGGACAGGTTGAGCAACTTATGGAGAACCTGTCTCAAAATCAAAAGAGCCGGGGATGTAGCTTAGTGGTCCAGCACCCCTGGGTTCAAACCCCAGTACAGGAGGCAGAAAAGATGTTAGGTTTGGGATATATGTATATAAAATAAAAACAAATTTCATGTTTAGACTTGGTCCCATCCCCAAGATGTTTCATTGTACACATGAAAACATTCCAAAATCCAATTAAATCCAAAATCCAGAAATTTGGGTCCCAAGCATTTTGGATAAGGGATGCTCAACCTACACTTGATTAAAAGTTCCTTTAAAGTAGGAATTCATGTCCCTTTCTATATTCAATGTAGTACTGAAGCCCAATTACTTACGTAAAACAAATCAATAAAGTGTTTGGTGTTTTTTGTTTTGTTTTGATTTGTTTCCGTCTGGTACTAGGGATTAAATCCAGAGTTCTTTAATGCTAAACTATATCTCAGATCTTTCTCTTTTCATTCTGAGACAGGGTCTTGGCTAAATCACCCAGACTGGCCTCAAATTTGTGATCCTCCTGCCTCAAACTACAAATTACAGGCATGCCCCACTATGCCCAGTTTAAATGTTGCTTTAACTGGTAGCTTCACAGTAACGATGATACAATGAACTCCTATTTATTTTGCCTATCTAGTATCCTGTTTTGTTTGTTTGTTTAGTTATGCATGGACACAATATCTTTATTTTTTTATTTATTTTTATGTGGTGCTGAACACGTGCAAGGAGAGCGCTCTACCACTAAGCCACAACCCCAGCCCCTAGTATCCTGTTTTCTTAAATAACACTACAATTTTCTTTTAGGAATCATACCATGGTTCCAATGGACATGTGGCCCAAACCAAGACAGTGAGACTGTTGCCAAGAACCTTTACTGGTACTATCAAGAAAGCCCTTCCTTGGGGTCACAGTTGACAGGATGAACCACCCAGAGTAGCTGGGGACCATCTCTGCCATTAGCTTGCTTATAAGAATGAAGGGCTGGTGACATAGCTCAAAGGTACAGAACTTATCTAGCAGGCCCTTGGTTGAATGCTCAGTACCACAAAAAAAAAAAAAAAAGAGGTTGATATAAAGTAAGAAATCATATTCATAATTTTCATTATATTCAGTAAAGTCCTGGATTCTGCCTTGCCTAAAGCACAATCGACACCCCCCACCATTTGGGATGGGTACTAGGGATTGAACCCAGAAGTTCTTTACCACTAAACTACATCCCCAGCCCTTTTTCTTCCTTATAGGAAGACAGGGTCTCATTAAATTGCTGAAGCTGGCCTCTACCTTGTAATCTTCCTATCTGAGCCTCCCAAATTGCTGGGATTATAGTTGTGTGCCACTGTACTAGGCTAAATTTATATATTTTAACTTTTTTGTATGGTGCTGGGGATTGAACCCAGGGCCTCACACTTGCTAGGCAAGTACTCTACCTTTGAGCTATATCCCTATTGTCAATGTTTTAACTTTATTTTGTTGATTTCAGATTTACAGAGAAGTATTAAGAACAGTACAAAGAATTTCCATATCCCCTTCATCCAGATCTCCAAATACTAACATTTTACATGTATTTTATAGTTTGCTGTATATATACATATTTAAATTTGGGGGGGGGGGCTAGGTGCAGTGGTGGTGTCTGTAATCCCAGTGGCTGGGGATGTGGCTCAGTACTTGAGTGCCCCTGAGTTCAATCTCTAATACTGGGAAAAAAAAAAAAAAAAAAAGTAGAAGAAAATCCTGGAGAAAAGGGGCTCATAAAAGTCAAAGAGGAACTAGGGATGTAGCTCAGTGGTAGAGTGCTTGCCTAGCATGCAAGTTGTAAAAGGCCCTCAGTTCAATCCACAGTGCCAAAAACACACAAACAAAAAAATTAATCAGAAAAAAAAAAAAATCATTTGCGCTTTTAACCAGACAAGGTGGCACACACCTGTAATCCCAGCAAGTTGGGAGGCTGAGGCAGGAGGATCTTGAGGTCAAAGCCAACACCAGCAATTTATCAAGACCCTAAGAGCTTAGCAAGACCCTGTCTCAAAATAAAAAAGGGATAAGAACGTGGCTTAGTGGTTAAATGCCCTGGGTTCAATCCCCAGTATAAAAAAAAAAAAAAAGGCTGCAAATGTAGCTCAGTGATAAAGACCCCAGTATCAAAACCAGTAACAGGGGCTGGGGATGTGGCTCAAGCGGTAGCGTGCTCGCCTGGTATGCGTGCGGCCCGGGTTCGATCCTCAGCACCACATACCAACAAAGATATTGTGTCCACCGAGAACTAAAAAAAAAATAAATATTAAAAATTCTCTCTCTCTCTCTCTCTCTCCTCTCTCACTCTCTCTTTAAAAAATAACCAGTAACAATAATAATTAGTGCCTTTAATGCACTAGATAAAAACCTGCAGATGATACATATCACAGTTATGAGGTCACTGCAAAATAACACATGTAAAGTATGCCTCCATGTGTGCAAAAAAAAACCCAATATATATGTGTGCACATGCTTATATGTGTTTGGAACTCTCCAGAGGATACACAGGAAATTGCTAACAGTGTTTGCTGCTAAGAAGCAGGGACTAAGGCATAGAGATAAGAGGGGAATTTTAATTTTTCTATTTCTCTGTACCCTTGGAAATATTTGTTTGTGTAGTATTCACAATTCAAATATATCTATAATTATATTAAGTTGTGAAAGAATGTATAGAAAATATTTACTTCATGTGTCATGTGCTATATATGTCATGTGTGGCATATAAAATACACACATGTTAAGATATTACATACTATAGCAAGGCCTAGAAAAAATGTACTCTTGCAAGAAAAGGTTGATACAACTGAATTATGACATAAACTTGGTAAATATACTAAAAAGTATACACTCTTCTGGTATGTGGTGCTGAGGATCGAACCCAGGCCGCACACATGCCAGGCGAGCGCGCTACTGCTTGAGCCACATCCCCAGCCCTAAGTATACACTCTTCTATCTAACAATTCTACCTAGAGAAACTTATCCTAAGGAAGTAATTACCCAAGGGTACAAAAAGAAATGAATCTAGTTGTCTATTTAAGCGTTGTGTATAGTAGCAAAATATCAGAAATATCATAAATAGTGAGAATTTCTTAAATCCATAAAATTGAATACCATGTAGCATTCATATGACTTGACATAATTATTTCTCATCAGTAACATTTACTTAACATTTATTGTTTATATAATTATTTACAGATATCTTATATGCCATAGTTCTATTTTTGTTTAAAAACAAAAATATATTCATTCTCATTCCAGTCAGAATGGCAATTATCAAGAATACAAGCAACAATAAGTATTGGCGAGGATGTAGAGAACAAGGTACCTTCATACATTGCTGGTGGGACTGCAAATTGTTGCAATCACTATGGAAAGCAGTATGGAGATACTTCAGAAAACTTGGAATGGAACCACAATTTGACCCAGCTATCCCACTCCTTGGTTTATACCCAAAGGACTTAAAATCAGCATACTACAATGACAACAGCCACATCAATGTTTACTCAATTCAATTCACAGTAGCTAAACTGTGGGACCAACCTAGATGCCTTTCAACAGATGAATGAATAAAGAAAATGTGGTACATATACATAATGAATATTACTTAGCTTTAAAGAAGAATGAAATTATGGCGTTCGCAGGTAAATGGATGGAACTAGAGAATATCATGCTAAGTGAAATAAGGCAATCCCAAAAAACCAAAGGCTGAATGTTTTCTCGGATAAGGAGATGCTGATCCATAGTGGGGTGAGCGGTGGATAGGGAACTTTGGTTTGTGTACAGGGGAAAGAATGGAGAGGTGGGGCTGTGGGGATGGGAAGGACAATAGAATGAGACAGACATTATTACCCTATATACATGTACGATTACACTACTGGAGTAACTTGGCACCATGTATAGCCAGAGGAATGAGAAGTTGTGCTCCATTTGTGTACATTATGTCAAAATGCATTATAATGTTATATACAACTAATTAGAAAATAAAAAATAAAAATTTTAAAAATGTATATATATTTATATGCTGTGTATACACATTTATATTTCCTTTTTTTTTGTAGGGGCTAGTAACAAGGGACTGAACCCAGGAGCATTTTAACACTAAACTACATCCCCAACACTTTTTTATTTGAGACAGATTCTCACTAAATTGCTGAGGCTGGCCTTGAACTTGTGATCCTTTTGCCTCAGCCTCCTGAGTTGCTGGGACTGCAGGCATGTACCACCATGCCTGGCCACATCTATATTTGAAAACATCTCAAAGGATATCTATTATAAAAGCCATTTTTAAGTATACATTGTTAATACTTTTAATTTCATTCTCAGTTTTGCTTTTAGTTTTTCTTACTTCTTCTACAATGATTTTTTTATTGTTATTTTTATAGTGCAAAAGATCAAACTTGGAATGATCATGTTTTATATATACTATTAAACAATAAAGAAGACAACAATTATTGAACATTACTATGTGTTTGGCACTATTTTAAGCATTTTTGGAATATTAGCTCATCTAATCCTTATAACAACTCCATGAGGTCAATACTATCATTATTCACATTTTACAGATGAGTAACACAGGTGCAAAGGTTAAAAAGCCTATCCAAAATCATACAGCTAACTGGTGTAAAGCCAGATTCAAACCAGGTGGACTGGCTCAGAATGAAGCCTGTTTTTTTTTTTTTTTTTTTTTAGTTGTTGATAGACCTTTTTTTTATTTATTTACATGTAGTGCTGAGAATTGAACCCAGTGCCTCACACATGCCAGGCAAGTGCACTATTAAGCCACAGTCCAGGCCCTCAGAATCAAGCCTTTTAACCATTATACTTACTTGCCTCCCCAAATGAAAAATGCAAGTTGGGGCTGGAGTTATGGCTGAGCGGTAGAATGCTCGCCTAGCATATGAGAGACCCTGGGTTCAACCCTCAGCACCACATAAAAATAAATAATAAAATAAAGGTATTGTGTCAATAAAGGTATTGTGTCCAATTACAACTAAAATATAAATATTTTTTAAAAAGGGGGGGGCTGGGATTGTGGCTCAGCAATAGAGTGCTCACCTAGCACATGTGAGGCCCTGGG